AGGGACTGACTTCCTTTTCTTAAAGAAACTTGGAGGTTTGTGCATGCTCAGTCATGTCTGACTCTTTGCAAGCCCGTGGACTGTAGCCCGCCAGGCTTCTCTGTCCATAGGCTTTCCCCGCAAGAATACTGGAGTGGATGGCCATTTCCTCATCCAGGGGATCTTCCCCACCCAGGGATCGAATCGCACCTCCTGCATTGGCAGGTGGATCCTTTACCACTGAGCCACCTGAGAAGGCCAAAGAAACCCAGGGGATATATAAATGAAGGTTATCTGTCACACATCAACATTTTAGCAGACTAACAGAACTCATGAATACATACAGCTCAACTTTTCCTGACAGACTTTAACAGNACGCTCTTATCTCTGATGAGACAACCTAGCCTTGGCTGAGATATCCACTCTCCACACCTTCTCTAAAACTCACCAATCAGTTCAGTCCATCTCCTCCAAGGGAAGAGAATATGAGGGCCGGGGGATGGGACAAAGAGAAAAGGGGTGGAAGGAACAAAATCAAGGTTTCTTCACATGCAGACCCTGAGACAGAATCTGAGTACAAATAATTAATGCTTCCTGGAAAATGACTCAGGAAGCACCAGCAGTGGTGAGAAAGTGAGACTAGAAGGGAAGGAAGCCAATGTGGCCCATAAATGGGCTAGTTATTCCTGTGAACGCGGGGCTCCATCCCGCTGGAGATCCGGAGGTATTAAGTAGAGCACGTCTTCAAGTTGTCCCATGTGCTCGGAGAAGCAGCTGAGATGGTTGCACCAACTCTTTCCATCTTTAGAGGAGAGTTACTCCTGGAGTCGACTTGGGCTGCAGGATGCATGTTCCTCAGCTCACTCAGGCGGTCATTGTCAGGAAGGTTAGCTTCTTGCCATGTGGACCTCTCCAGAGGGTTGTGTGAACATCCTCATGATATGGAAGCGGGTTTCCCCCAGAGCAAGTGATCCAAGGAGAAGAACAGGGTAAGCAGGAAGCCACAATGCCTTTTTGTGACCTTATCTTGGAATTCTCATAATATCACTTCTTTATTTTATTTACCAGAAACAAGTCAGTAAGTCCAGCCATACCCAAGGGTAAGGGAATTAGGCTCCATTTCTCAAAGGGAGGGGTATAAAAGAATTTATGTGTGTGTACATGCTAAGTTGCTTCAGTCGTGTTCTACTTTTTGCAACCCAATAGACTGTAGCCTGCCAGGCTCCTCTGTCTGTGGAACTGTCCAGGTAAGAATACCAGAGTGGGTTTCTGTGCCCTCCTCCAGGGAATCTTTCCAATCCAGGGATCAAACCTATGTCTCATGCAGCTCCTGCGTTGCAGGCAAGTTCTTTACTGCTGAGCCAGTGGGGAAGTCCAAAAGAATTTATAGGTATATTTTAAAACTGCAAGAGGTGACAAGCATCCCTGTATTCTAAAGGGAGGTGCTTGACCTCACTTGCAGCTTTTATAAGAGATTATGATAGAAGTGCCCAGAGAACATATCTGGAGTTGGTTGTTATGTTCCCTGAGTCCTTCCAACATGGGGAAAGGGATGGATGCCCTCATATTTTAAGCCCAAATGAGCGGGGTTTTATGGGGACTCTTAGGAGAGTTTGATGAGTATGTCCTGGAAGGTAAGGTCTAAATTCTGAGATATGTTTGAAAAGACTAAAGTCAGAGGTGATGTGATAAGCCTCAGGAGTGGAAGAAGGGGCCAGACCTCACTTCAAGCTAGCTCCCCCTAACTTAAGCAGGGCAAAGTCATCCTCTCTCATTCCAGGGACGGAGCTTGGAGGCACAGCTGACTGCTGGATGACAGGCGACAGGTTTGCCCATTTCTAGGGAGCTCAGGTCAGGTCTCCAGAGGAAAGACCTCTAAAGACTCACAAACGAACATCCCCCAAGAGAGCTTCAAACATATAGTGTTGACCAGAGGTGACAACTGTGCTGGCTTCTAACCCTTCACCCCAGCCTTATTCATCCATCTACTCCCCTGGACCCAATCTCAGTGGACTTTTTAAAAATATATTTATTTTATTTTTTAAAACTTTTCATTTCATATTGGGGTATAGCCAATGAACAATGTTCAACAGGTGAACAGTGAAAGGACTCAGCAGTACATATATGTATCCATTCTCCCCTAAACTCAGGGGGCTTGAAATAACAGCAGCTAGCAAGTGAGCAGGCTCCAAGGTTCTCAGCTGTCCCTCCAGCTCTTCCAGGCCTGGCTGAGGCCCAAGCTGGGAGAAAGAAGATACTTTAAATTAAGTGTTCACATTTGCATTATACAGTGGATCACGTCATGATTAGACTGGACAAGGCTCTTGAACGCCAAGCCAGGGAATGTTTGTGAATGTCCAAAACCTCACCAAAGCCCCCTCCTTCATCCCAGGATGGGAAAAAAAACTTTTTCCTTTCACTTTTACCTAAAAGTCTCCACATTTACCTACCAACTCCATCGCATTAAATAAACCAGATATATTTGGAATTCTCTGGGAGAAAATGGATTCCTCAGAATTATGAAGCATGTTATTCTAAAGTCAGTCCTAAGACACACTGCTCTACCCCAACCCTTAAGAGAAACTCTATGTTGTTAATTCTATTTTGAATATGAAGAATCTAAAAATGAAAAAAAGAAATAGCCTTGGTTGTTTAGGAAAATTGATCAACTGCCAGCCTGGAGATGTAGTTGCTGAGGGCCACCCTTGTCCTGCCTGAGACCCATTTTCCTTCTTAGGCACCTGGCTCTTTTCTAGTGATGCACCTGCCCCGCCCTTTGCTGCCTGAATTTTAACCGCTACACAATCCCACTGAATTTTAATTCTGTCCTTAACTTTTCAGTAAGTTACCCTATTGCTTGCACTCACTTGAGAAGCCAAGTCCATTCATATTTTCCACATATTTGAGAAATTAGAAACTTTTCAGAACAGGTATGAGAAAGATACTGCTCCTCATCTCAAGAAGGTCACTGTTTAGTTTGGGAAGGAGATTGGACTTGCCTGGATTCTCCAAATGTGTATTCTTGCCACTGCATCTCTTTGATGGGCTTGTGTCCTGCTCTCTAAACACCCCCTTGGTTCTCAACTTCCACCAACCCAAGCACCCCAGGTTCCATGCACTCTGTGTTCAGCAAGGGCTTCTGCCAGACTGACTCCCTGAAACACTGTCAGCACCACCCTCGTCTTTTGCTAATCAGCTGTGAGATTTTAAATTCTTCTCTCTCCCACTCCTTCCCGTCCTGTCATCCTTACCCTCTGTGGAGAAAGGGAGGATTTTACTAGACAAATACAGACAAGATACACTTTCAGGGCTTTCCTCTTCAGTGTTAACCACCAGACCCATCCCCTTAAGCCTGTCTTTGGAGCTTTTGACACCTAGTTTTGGGTCTGCCTTTATTGTTTGATCTACTATCAGTATAATTCACTAACCACAACATTTTAGTATATTTGTCATAAAAGAGTATACACCTGTATTTGCCCTTCTCAGACTTCATTCATTCACTCACTCATTCACTCATTCATCAGACATTGCTGAGTTCCCATTTTGTATAATATCATGTCCTACAAGCTGAGAAGATAAAGACTATGGCAGTGGTTTTAAGCCTTAGTGATCCTTGTTGTCATCTGAGGATCTCAAAAAAAAAAATAATACAGATACTCTGGCTCTACTTCCCAGAGATTCTAATTAAATCATTTCAGGGCATGAGTGTCAGTGATTTTTAAAAACTCCCTGGGTGATTCTAAAGTGCAGTCACGATTGAGAACCATGAGAAGACAGGAGCATAAATAACTTGGGCCAAGATTAAATGGCAAGAATTGCCTACAAGATTCAGAGAGTACTCTGGGGGCCCACGTCCTGCTCGGCACAACCCTGCTGGTCCCACCATCTCTGCTCAGCCCAGGCACACTTTAGCCACAGCTCCGGTGAGAGATGTGTCACATCGATCACAAGCTGAGCAAAAGTAAGATGACAGTATCATTAACCTTTTCTCAGCTGAGCAATGATGATGGCACCTTCCTCTAGGGAAAGCACACGAGGTATGGGAAACTGAGCTGTTTCAGTGGCTCAGTGGTAAAGAATCTGCCTGCAAGGCAGGAGACTCCGGAGACGTGGGATCGATCGCTGAGTCAGGAAGATCCCCTGAAAGAAGGAAATGGCAACCCACTCCAGTATTCTTGCCTGGAGAATCCCGTGGACAGAGAAGCCTGGAAGGATACAGTCCATGGGGTTGCAAAGAGTCCAGCAGGACTTAGTGACTGGGCAACAACAGCCCGCCCAAGTGAGTGGGTATAAAACTAAAACAGATGATTAAGAGGCAGGATTGAACGCTTCTGATATTCTTACACCTGGGTGAGGGCAACAGCTTACAATTCTAGGGAGACTTTTGTGATTGACAGAAGGGACAAATAGTTTGCCCAGATTGGAGTAAGGGGAAAAGAAAACCGCGTGAGGACGTCCCTGCGGTCTGAGGGTCTTTCTGCTTCTATGATACGATGAGGAGTTAAAGGCAAGAGAAAGCTGCCACTCTGCCCCTTCAGGTTCCCCTGGACACTAAGAGATCCTGCCTGGCTCCTTCCAGGCTCTGTCTGAGGGAGGCCCGGCCTCTCCGTCCTCCAGTGTTCCAGCTTAAGGCAAGAGCTGAAGCCACGTAGGAAACTGCCGAGAATGACCCCTTCCTCCCACGGAAACTGTCTACGGACTAATACTGCAGTGGATGCTTCGTGCTGCGGGGTGAAGGTTCATCGCGTCTGTTTGTCCGCAGTCGACGCGCTTCTGGTGGAGCACCGTGAGAAAACGCGGTCTACTGAAGGTGGGGAAAGCCTGGGGCCGGGGCTGTCCGTAGGGAGGCCTGGCGTGCTGCAGACCACGGGGTCGCAGAGTCGGACACGACTGAGCGACTGAACTGAAGAGGGGATGTCAGCGAGAGCGTCGTTTTCCTGTGTGTCCAGCAGGGGGCGCCTCCGTCAAGCGCGCGGGCGGGACGGTTATGCAACCGGGAGAGCGCACGCTCCGGCCGGGTGACCGCCCGGCCTGGCGATGCGGACGCGGGTCTGACTCCGGGAGAGAGGCGCATCTGGGGACCCAGCCGCCCATTTCCCCAGAGGGAAGGACGGGCTCTCGGGACTCAGTCACCTTCCCATGAAACCCTGGAAACGGCTCAGTAGCTCTTCTGGTTGACTTGCTGCTGCGTTCAGCTGTCAGCTGCCTGTGAACCGGTGACACGAGCTCATGCTACTGTTTGTTTTCCAAAAAGGGCTGTCCTGAATTTTTGTTTAAAGATCAAATGATAATAGTTATAATAGGACCCTTCCGTGAGCAGCTTCTCTATGCCCTGATCGCAAGCGAGCACGGCGCCTGATGTGCGCTCTGCGGCGATGCTTCCTGCTCAGCGTTTTCTATCCGCTCATCCAGCAGCCGGGGGTCCTACCAGCGCCTTCCTTCAGACTTTGCTGCTACGTTAAACACAGCTTGATTTTTTTTTTTCTTTTGGTTTGTTTGTTTTAATGTTTTTTATTGCGGTAAAAGTCACATAATATAAAACATACTGCTACCGCTTGTTTTTTAATGGGAAGGAGAGAGGAAATCCATCCCTGCTCAAATTTACTGGGCTTATCCGGCAGTTTAGAGAAGGAATAGGAAATTGAATATCGGTTGATTTTCCTCTGAAATCGGTTGTATCTTGTTGCTATTTTACCATTTAAGGTGAACATGCACACACACACGTGTATGCACATGTATTTTGTTTTTAATTTCCCTCAGATGTGTCGATTTTTTTTCATACCGTATTCTACAAAAAGATACCGGTTAAAAGGGAGAGAAAAGGTATTATGTAGTTCTTTCTAGTAGGGAACTAGAGCTGCGTTTTTAATCTCTTTCTTTTCTTAATTATTTCCATATAGGAAAACTATGAAATTATTTTTTAAAGAAAAATAAGAAAGAGGTCAAAACCAAGCTTACTTCATTGAAAACATCTTAATTGTAGAAAGTTTGGAAAATATATGTCTATAAATAAAGAGGATAGAGATAAATGCTGTCATTTAATTTAGCATATGAATTAATGGCCTTTCCCCCCAATGTTGTGTATGCTATTATACAAAGCATTATGATATACATATTGGTTAAAAATCTATTATTTTTCTCATTTAATTTGTCGTGATCATTTTTAATACCTGCACAGTATTCTTTATTATATATCATACAAATGTAGTGTAATATATTCAGTTAATCCCATAGGGATGGAAATTAAAGATATTTCCATTCTTTACAATGGTACATATCACTGGGATAATAATCTTTATGTACATTTGTATTTCCTTAGGAAAAATCCTAGAAGAGAAATTGAAGATCAGTGGATATTTTAAGACACTCAGTTTGTGTATTTGCAAATGCCCTCCAGAAACATGATGCCAATTTGTACATTCACCAAAAATTATGAGCCAACACAGGTATAGTTCTTTTTTTATGCTTTGCGAGTTTTTCAGGTTACTAGTAGTATTTCATTGTTTTTTTTAATTGGCATTCCTCTGCCACTTTCCTTTGAATTTCTCAGATTTCCTTTAAGGACCTTTCCAATAGACTTGGAGTCTGATGGAAGCAACAAAGAAGCTGATGAATCAAAGAACTTGCAGCGGAAGACTTTAGCGTTTAAGACCCGTGAGACCTGATGACATTGCATAGACAGACGCTTTGATAGAGACTAAGGATCCTTAGCGGGAAAGATTCACAGCCAGGAGAATTAGAGAGGGACTATGCCTGGGGATCCAGGTGGGGATAATTCTTAAATTGATTACTCAATTTTAATAACTAAAATCCCACCGTGGTCACCAAGACTAAACACAAGAATTCTGGTGATTTCTGCCTCACAATCAGGCAAGATTGTAGCAGTGGGGAAAACGATGACCTTTGAGAAGTCTTTCTTAACCTCGGGACTCAGATTTTATAACTGGTTTGTACATCCAGGTATGCACGTGTCGTCTCATGATGAGCGTGTGTGCGTAGCTGGGTGTGCATGTCTTCGCAGATCTCATCTCTGTTTATTTTTTTTTCTTTTTTTTTCCATTTATTTTTATTAGTTGGAGGCTAATTACTTTACAACATTGCATTGGTTTTTGTCATACATTGAAATGAATTAACCATCTCTGTTTATTTTAACTGATTGTGAAAGAGACAGAAACCTGTGCTAGGAAAGAAAGGGACAATTAGGAAATAGTCCTACTTTGGGAAAGCAAGTTCATTGACTGACCACCAACTTGCAATGAAAAGCAGTTTATCCAAAACAGCTTGTCAAATGCCCAGTTGGCCAAATTTGGGAGAATATTTAAAAAGTTTTAGTTTTATCATCAGCTATGCTTTCCTTTGCCCTGTCTCAGAGTTCTCCCCAGACTGCTTGGTTAGAGAAGCAGGGTCTAGTTCAGAGGCAGGGTCAAGGAGAGGCAGAGGTAGTGGCAGGAACTATACCAAAACTTAAACGAAGCCCTCATGAATCAGGAGATCATTCATGAAGTTAATATTAGTAAGTTGGTTCTCAACAAACTGGCTCAGAGCCATGCTCTAGCACCTTCTTCCGGAAATGACTGCTTTCACTTTTCCAGTCCTTTCTCATCCAAAGCTGTGCTTCCCCCAGACCCTGAGATTGTACCATTCCTGAGTATAATGCCAGCACTCACCACTTGCTGTGGGACTTAAAGATCCACCTGTTAGCTGGCTAAGCATTTATGTGGAATCATAGAGGATCTTTAATAATATTTAATAATACATTCAAAGTCCACAAAATGATGGTGATTTGGAAATAACTTCTCTTACCTATTCCAACCTGCGCTCTAGCTCTATCCACGGTCAAAGGGCCTTAGTGAGCCCCATTTTTTTTTACGGAGAACATCCCCAATCTTCGCCCTGCATACCCTTTTCCAGAAGCCTTTTATAGCCTTTCAAAAGCAAATAAGTAGATAACAATCATGGCTTCCTCTACTTACCTCTGCCCCTGGGTGAGTTACTGGGTATTTGGTCTACTGTTGGAGAAAGGCCTTTGAAAGTTGGGAGACTGGTAAAGAGGGTGGGTCCCTTGAAGTGATCTGGTCTGCAGAGCAGAGACAAAGGGATAGGCAGATATTTTGCACTGAGATGAGCTTCCTGCCAGTTTTCTCATGAATTTTCCTAAAAGTACATCTTCTTTTCAGCCTGATTACATTTTTAAAGCTCTCTTCTACCATCATAGCCTTGACAGATGCTAGACTCTAGGGAGGAGGAATAAAGGTGACAGGGATGGTGAGAAGGTTGAAAGAGATAAAAGCTGTCCCCAACACACATTGGGTCACAGCAAATATTGGTTATGTTTATATTTTTTCAGTGAAACATTATGGTCTGTGTATGGGAAATGTAAAGTTTGTTATAGTTAGTGTTCAGAGGAATAAAAATTATTTTTATATATTTGTATAAAATTTTATGTAATATTTTATAGATTATAAAACTTCAATACAAAGTGTGGTGCTAAAGTGTAAGGTGCTAGAATGGTCATAGACTTGACTGGGACTCTAAGGATCTTAGCAGAACATAAGGAGCAAAATTGTGAGTTGAGTGCCAAAATGATTAAGGAAGATGGAAGAGTGAGCTGAAAAACAATGTCAAGAGTGCAACAGTATACATCCTGAAGTGTAAAAGAAGAGATATGATTGAGTAATAAGTGCAAGACATTTTCATCTGTCACACTGGAAATCTAGCAGGTGCCTATTTAAAGACAACCCTTTAGCATTCTAGAGCTGGAGATGATTTATCTGCAGGTTCAAACCAGATTTGCTCTGGACCAAGCATGAAAATATAGTAAATATGTAGCTTTTCAAAGAATCTTATCACTGTACTTATAGATATGGGTATTGGTAGATATTTATCAATTGAGGCAGATCATAATAAATAGAGAGTAAACTATTGGCATTATTTTTTCCTTTTTTGATCCTCATCCTGCCCAACAGAACGACCAATTTCACACTTTACAAAAGGCAGTGTCACCTCTGATCTATGAACCATTTTATTTGAAACACAAGTTACTATGACAATTCTGTCTACTGCTTGGTGGAAAAAGGCTTTTTCATATCTCACTCACTGCAGAACAATCCAATTTTCTTGTAATATCCATCTGATCTTTATATCTATCTCTTGAAATGTAGAGGCTATGAGAATTAGATCAGAAATAATCCATGTAGAATGGAGCTGAGATTCATGTCACTTAGTTCAGTTCCATTCAGTTCAGTTGCTCAGTCGTGTCCGACTCTTTGCGACTCCATGGACTGCAGCACGCCAGGCCTCCCTGTCCATCACCAACTCCCAGAGCTAACTCAAACTCATGTCCATCGAGTTAGTAATGCCATCCAACCATCTCATCCTCTGTCATCCCCTTCTCCTCCTGCCTTCAGTCTTTCCCAGTATCAGGATCTTTTCCAATGAGTCAGTTCTTTGCATCAGGTGGCCAAAATACTGGAGTTTCAGCTTTAGCATCAGTCCTTCCAATGAGTATTTAGGACTGATTTCCTTTAGGATTGAATGGTTTGATCTCTTTGCAGTCCAAGGAACACTCAAGAGTCTTCTCCAACACCACAGTTCAAAAACATCAATTCTTTGGTGCTCAGCTTTCTTTATAGTCCAGCTCTCACATCCACATCCATACATGACTACTGGAAAAATCATAGCCTTGACTAGATGGACTTTTGTCGGCAAAGCAATGTCTCTGCTTTTTAATATGCTGTCTACGTTGGTCATAGCTTTTCTTCCAAGGAGCAAGCATCTTTTAATTTCATGGCTACAGTCACCATCTGCAGTGATTTTGGAGCCCAAGAAAATGAAATCTCTCACTGTTTCCACTGTTTCCCCATCTAATTGCCATGAAGTGATGGGACCAGATGTCATGATCTTCGTTTTTTCAATGCTGAGTTTTAAGCCAGCTTTTTCACTCTCCTCTTTCACTTTCATCAAGAGGCTCTTTAATTCCTCTTCACTTTCTACCATAAGGATGGTATCATCTGCATATCTGAGTGTATTGATATTTCTCCTGGCAATCTTGATTCCAGCTTGTGCTTCACCCAGCCTNAGACCTGGTTTCGATCCCTGGGTCAAGAAGATCCCCTGGAGGGGGAAATGGCAACCCACTCCAGTATTCTTGCCTGGAGAATCCCCATGGACAGAGGAGGCTGGCGGGCTACATAAAGTCCATGGCATCGCAAAGAGTTGGACACGACTGCAGCAACTTAGCACACAGCACACAATCTGTCCTTTATATCTATGATCTTCTGCTTTTTTTTTTGTCTATTCTTTTAAAGTCTACATAGAGGAGAGATCATACTTATGATCATACAGATCATAAGTTGTCTTTGTCTGACATTTCATTTAGCCTAGCATGCTGCGACTCATGGAGTCGCAGAGTCGGACACAACTGAGCGACTGAACTGAACTGAACCTAACTGAACTGAATGTAATACACTGTGGATCCATCCATGCAGGCAGATTCTTTACCAGCTGAGCCACAGGTGGGAGAAGTTAATGATTAAGGATGGTATGCTGCCCACAGCTTATAGACCCCAGACCAGTTGGAACCGGAAGCTGATGATGCTGACTCCTACTTACCTCACCACCAACCCATCAGAAGAATGTTCACAAGCTTTTCATGATTTGAATGATTGCTAGAAAACTGCTCACTATCCTTATCAAGTTGGGACACATAGTTTTTCAAAACAGGAGCCTACTGTGTTCCTCTTTGCCTGGCAAAGCTATAAAGCTGTTCTCTTCTACTTTATCCCAAACTCTGTTTCTGAGATTCAATTTGGCATCAGTGTACAGAGAAGCTGAGGTTTTGTCATCAACTGCACCAATATGCATTCCCACCAACAGAGCACAAAGGTTTCCTCTTCTCTACACCGTCTCCAACACTTGTCATTTCTTGCCTTTTTGATAAAAGCCATTTTAACAGGTGTGAGATGATATAGTCCATTGAGGTTTTGAGTTGCATTTCTCTGATAATGAGTGATGTTGAGCATCTTTTCATGTGTTTGTTAGCCATCTGTATGTCTTCTTTGGGAAAATGTCTATCCAGAACCTCTGCCCATTTTTAAAATCAGATTATATGGGGTTTTTTGCTATTGAAGTGTGTGAGGTATTTTTAAATACATATATATATATATTTAGGATATTAGTCCTCATCAGATATATAATTTGCAATAATTTCCTCCCATTCGTTAGTTGCCTTTTCTATTTGTCGATGATCTCGTTTACTGTGCAGAAGCTCTTTAGTTCAATGTAGTTTCATTAGTTTATTTTTGCTTTTGTTGTTTTTGCTTTTAGTGTCAGATTTGAAAAGTCATCACCAAGACCTGTGTATGGGAGCTTACCACCTGTTTTGTTCTAGGAGTTTTATGGTTTTGGTCTTATGTTCAAGTCTTTAATCCATTTTGAGTTAATTTTTCTGTAAGGTATAAAATACTGGTTCAGTTTTATTCTGTTGTATGTGGCTCTCCATTCTTCCCAACACCATTCATTGTAGACACTGTCATATCCCCATTGTATATTCTTGACTCTTTTGTCATAAATTAATTGACCATATATGCATGGATTTATTTCTTGTCTCTGTTCTGTTCCACTGATCTATGTGTCTATTTTTATGCCAATACCATATTGTTTATAATTACTATAGCTTTGAAATATAGTTTGAAATCAAGGAGTGTGATACCTCTAGTTTGTTCATCTTTTTCAAGATTGCCTTAACTATTTGGGGTCTTTTGTGGTTCCATAAAAATTTAATATTGTTTGTTCTAATTCTATGAAAAACACCATTGGAATATTGATAGAAATTGCACTGAATCTGTAGATTAACTTGGCTAAGTGTGGACATCAGGAATACTGCACTGTAATTTTCCCCTTTTTTGTGATATCTTTGTATGGTTGGTATTAGGGTAATGCTGGCTTCTTAAAATGAGTTTGGAAATGCTTCTTCCTTTTCTATTTTTTGGAAGAGCTTGAAAAGAATTATTATTAATTCTCCTTCAACTGCTTGGCAGAATTCACCAGTGAAGTCATTTATTAATGGACTTTTGTTTGTTGGGAGGTTTTTAATTACTGATTCAATCTGTTTACTAATCATCATTCTGTTTAGATTTTCTATTTCATTATTGTCCAGTCTTGGATGTTTGTAGATTTATAGGAAATTTGCCTGACATTTCTTAGAAATTTCCATTTCTTCTAGATTGTATAGTTCTTTGGCACATAATTGTTCATAGCAGTTTCTTGTGATCCTTTATATGTCTATGGCACTAGTTTTAATATCTCCTCTTTCACTTCTGATTTATCAGGAATTATTTTTTAAATAAGTATATTTATTACAGTTAGAAATAAAGCTTAAAAATGGTTGGGATTGGTGACATGTTGCTGTCAACTCACTTAGCACTCAAGGTGAGTAATAGAACTTTGAGCAGATTTCCATGCGGGTAAAACAAGTTATGGGAAAGGAGAGGAGAAGCCATAGGTATCAATCCCATTGGGCACTCAGCACTTGAACCAGGGCCTTTCTTATCTATGGCCAAACACCTTACACTTTCTAGGAATTAAATATATGTGTTAAAACCCAAATGACTAAAACTGAAATTATTCACATTAATAATTTGAGTCTTTACGTTTTTCGTTTGTGAAGGACTGCATCAGTCTGGACCTGAAAACCAAGTGTTTTTCTTTCTGATCAGGTACCAGTGCTCCCCACAGCACATGCCAGCCCTCCAGCAAGAGTTGTGAGTTATGTGTTGAATCAAGAAGGATCATCTCATTATAGAATTATTGCATCACCAAGTAGGAAGGGATCTTCAAATTCACCTAATGTAGCCTCCAAGCTGATACAGGAATTCTCTTTATAGCATCCCTAACAGGTGGACATCAAGTCTAAACCTGTATATTCAACCAGACCTGGGCTAGCCAAAACCTGGCGAAATTTTTTCTCTCCATAGCCTCAATTGGAGGAAAATTTTCTGTTATTTTAGAGTCAAAATATACCTTTGTATAACCTTGATTGACTACTTCAATAAGTAATCAATCAGAAAACAGTATGCTGCCTTTGACATCACTGTCCATTGACTGAAAGTCAACCATAAAATCAAAAGAGCACTAAAATAATTTTCTGGAGCCCCAGATTTTCTCCTTAGCTCTGCTTCAAATCAAATATGTTTTTGCTATTGATTTCTTTTTTTCTTTCCTGGCAAGTTTCTTTTCTTAAAGAGCTGCATCTGTACATTTCAAGAGGAAAAAGTTTTAGCACATTAAAATATTTTATTTAAAATTGAGAAATGTAGTTTAACTTTTATTTTTGTGTCATGAAAAATTTCAAACATGTATAAGAGCTGATGTAACAGAACAATGAATGCCTTCATAATTAACACCTAGCTGTAAATACAGCACCCAACTTGCCATCAATCTTATTTCATCTTTGTCGTCACCCAGTTTCCCTCTTCCCTGGATTTATTTTGAAGCAAATCCCAGACATCACATAAAACTATCCATAATGAATCACAGTTTCTCTAAAATATAAAGACTGTGACTTTGTAACAAGAAATAATTCCCAAATATCTTAAACTATCCACGCAGTGCTCACATTTCACCAGCCTGTGCATTCTCCCCATCCCCCAATCTCTCTCCCCCCTTTCTTTCTACTTGTTTGAATCAGAAAGCAAATGAGAGCCTATACTTACAATAGGTAAGTATCTTTTAGTCTACAGATTCCCTTGTCCAACTAATTTTTATTTTTTCCTTACAATTTTATTTCTTAAATTAACTGAAGTATTAGTCCTGCAGTTGTGTCCGACTCTGCAATCCCATGGACTGTAGCCTGCCAGGCTCCTCTGTCCATGGAATCCTCCAGGCAAGAATACTGGAGTGTGTTGCCACGCATTTCCCCAGAGGACCTTCCTGATCCAGGGATCAAACCCGGGTCTCCTGCATTGCAGGCTGATTCTTTGCCATCTGAGCCATCAAATAAATTAGGTTGTATGTAACTAGTGTACAAGGTATAGCTTTGTGACTTTGTGCCCTTATATTTGTTTGGGTTTTTTGTTTGTTTGGTTGGTTGGTTGTTTTTTATTTTCACCAGTGTATCTTGTTAGTAATATAGAAGTGGAGTTTCTGGGTCAAAGGGTATTGTCAAATATTGCAGAAGTTCAAAAGAGTGTCCCCATAGATCCTGTACCCACTTTGCACCCCCACCATTCCTGAAAGGCATTAAACTGGTGATTCCGAGGCTGCTAGAGCTCTAAAATTATAGAATAAATATTTGATGAGGCCTCCCATGTTTTCATGAATCTTCTCCTTTCCAGGCTAGTTCTTGCACATTTGATAAATAGACCTGATATGGCCTTAGCCATTAATAAAATTCTTAAACAGAAGTGCATTAAGACACCTTGACAAGGACCAGGACACTTCCTTCCAGGATGACACTGACTGGGCATCTTGAATTTATCTAAATGGCCATCTATCATTTCTCCACCCTGCTTTTATGAGATTGTATCCAATGCACTAAAATTAAAATTCACTTGTTATCTGTGTCTTGCCCCTGAAAGTGCTGTAAGCGAGCTAAGATAGTGGCCTCTATTCTCAGACTCCTTGAGTGTGTATCTTGTCTTCATCAACTGTGTTCCACTGAAGCAGTTTTTTAAAGCTCTGTGTCTCTGTTTTATCATTTGCTTTATGGGGTTTTTCAAAGTACCTGTTGTGATGATTATAAAAGATAATATATGTAAGGGATTTAAAACAGCAAGCAGTAAGTCTTCTCAAAATGTTGGCTATTAAGTGAAATCTACTAATCTGATAACAAGGCCAAAAAACTTAAGGTAATTGGACAAGAATTATCATTATTGAATGTGTCAGGAGGGTTTTTTCTGGAATTTACATGTATTTACCTCTAGTCTCTGAAAACCATTTGTAGTCTCTGGAAATTTTATTAGTTAGGGTCAGCTGTGTAAGAGATACTCCAAAATAACATAATTATAATCAAATAAAAGTGTTTTTTTCCCCTCTTGGATAAAAGAAGTCCAGAAGTAAACAGAGTTAGTTATGATGGCTCCACAGAGTCATCAAGAATTCAGGTTTCAATTTTTATCCTTCAATATTGTCAGCACATAACTTCCCCCCTTACACTATGTCAAGGTCTAAAATGGCATCATTACAGGATGGCCGTAGTTAAAACAGCAAAAAGACAAAAGGACCACTCTCCCCAGCTAAGGGACTTTCCAGGTGATGCAGTGGTAAGGAAGCCACCTGCCAATCCTGGAGACTCAAGAGACAAGGGTTTGATCCCTGGGTCAGGAAGATCTCCTGGAATAGGAAATGGCAACCCACTCCAGTACTTCTTGTCTGAAAAATGTCATGGACAGAGGTACCTGGTGGGCTGTAGTCCATGGGGGTCTCAAAATGTTGGACATGGCTGAGTGACTGAGCACAAACCCCAGCTAAGTGATCTCAGTCAACTCAGAAATCACATGTATACTGGCTCTTATGTTTCACATTAGCACATTAACGCTGGCTGTTATAATCCTTTGGCCAGAATATAGTCACATGACCATAGCCGGCTGTAAGACAGGCTAAGACTTGTATGCCCTTTACGGAATGCATTACCCCCGGATGAAATGAGTTCCATTACCAAAAAAGAAAAAGGAGACAACTACTGGGGTGGTCAACTAGGTGTCTCTGCCAAGTATTTTTGCATCTTTTGACATCTGTCTTATTCTCTGTAGTTCATTATGATTATCTACAGTGATGCTGAGATCATATCAGCATCTTACTATAAGAACCTGGGATAAAATTTCTTCAAAATGCAGAATCAATGAAAGAAATGTAGTGACCCTAGTATTCCAATAAGTCCTGAAGTTATGAAGATGAATAAAGTGGTAACACACCTTGGTCTTCTCAGAAGAGAAGACATGTCCCCTTATGGGTCTATAAAAATTTGTCTTTGTTATGCCCTGGTCCTTCCTTTTTCTAGTCAAAATCCTAAAGGTAGACAAGAGCCTTCTCCTGCTGCACTAGTTTCTCAAACAGCCTTGCTATCAAGGTCATCTAAAATTGTATGATCAGAATATTTTGAGAATCTCATTTCTTTTGAAATTGTGTCCATTTTTCTGTGGTAATTAAAAAAAAAAAACCTACCTACTGTATTATTCTCCATGCATGCGTGCATGCTAAGTCACTTCTTCAGTTGTATCCAACTCTTTCAGACCCTATGGACTATAGCCCACTAGGCTCCTCTGTCCATGGGGTTCTCCAGGCAAGAATACTGGAGTGGGTTGCCATTCCCTCCTCCAGGGGATCTTCCCGATCCAGGGATTAAATCCCTGTCTCTCATGTCCCCTGAACTGGCAGAAGGATTCTTTATCACTATCACCACTTGGGAAACCCTATTATTCCTCAAATTATCTTAGTTTATTTTGAACACTAAGATAGCAGTTACTTTTTTCCACATTCTTCACCATTTCACTTCATCTTGCATTTCTTCCCAGTTGCTCAACTCACAATGGTAATATTCTTTTTCCCTGAAATGTGAGCCTCATGACAAAATCAGTTAAGAACTCCCCCCCAAACTTGTATTTATCAGCAATAATCTCCCAGAATTGAGATAATCAGATTTAAAAATTCATCCTTGAACATGGTTCTGTTACAGTGTCTACATGCACAAGTGGGGAAAACCACCACCTTGTACATAAGGCAAAGAAATCAGACAAAGTGATCATTATGCAATAATGTATTAATAATAGATGGCATAATGAACTAAAAATGAGCTTGGCAACACTCCCAGGTACTTTTCATCAACTAATTTCTACGACCTGCTTTGCCTGTGAAAGGTAGAATGAACATATTCACTTGGGTTTAGAGATACTGGCAGGGATCCAAAGCCTGGAACAGTGACTCTGGCTTTGCTAGACACCTATCTAGACACCCTTGGCTTCTAGAATGTATATGTCTGTGGGAAGGAGCCTGAGGGCCTGATTATGCTCCACAGACTGGACCCCTGTGTTCCTGAGCCTCCCAGCAAACATGCGCAGGAGCCCCTCTGACAGTGGTGCAAGGTCAGCTCCTGGGAAGAGCAGGTGATTTCCTGGTTTCCATTCAGTTGGTGTGGAGTGAGAACAGACAAACCGCGTGAGAACTGGTGGTGTATCTCCTAGCAACATTATCCTGTGCTGTCCTGACGTTGACCAGTGAAAAAAGCTGACCATCAGAAGTCCAAGCTTGGCAGGGGCACAGTCAATATCTGAGAGAGAAATCACACAGTTACAAGAGGGACACCTGGGACTTGCTCCTCACTCCGCACCCTGCCCTCTGCCATAGAGTGGGGCTTGGCACCTACTCAAGTTGTCCCAGTCTTCAGGGACTCTAAAGAGTTACAGCCCATATGCGTGTGTGACCCCATGGACTGTAGCCGCCAGACTTCTCTGTCCATGGAATTTTCCAGGCAAGAATACTGGAGTGGGAAGCCATTTCCTCCCCCAGGGATCTTCCAGACCCATGGATTGAACCCAGGTTCTCCTGCATCAGCAGACACATTATTTACCACTGCACCATCTAGGAATAAAGGACAAAAATGGTATGGACCTAACAGAAGCAGAAGATATTAAGAATTGGTGGCAAGAATACACAGAACTGTACAAAAAAAAGATCTTCACAACCCAGATAATCACAATGGTGTGATCACTCACCTAGAGCCAGATATCCTGGAATGTGAAGTCAAGTGGGCCTTAGGAAGCATCACTATGAACAAAGCTAGTGGAGGTGATGGAACTCCAGTTGAACTATTTCAAATCCTAAAAGATGATGCTGTGAAAGTGCTGCACTCAATATGCCAGCAAATTTGGAAAACTCAGCAGTGGCCACAGGACTGGAAAA